TATGTTTTCCCAGGATCGTATTTTTCTCTCCGATATGGGGGTTTTCAAGAGAATCCCCCTTTACCATAGGATGTGTTGTTCCTGCCAATGGAAAAGTCCACTTCTGATTCTGAAGGGGAAACAACGAGCATGTAATTGTGTCGCCCGTGACACTCGGCCTAATCCGTAGCCCGTGGCCACTTTTCCTGCTGCCACTTAAAAATCCACTTAATCCCGCCGTCTTATAAAAATAACACAAAAAAAAGAGAAGAAGCAGGAAAGAACAAATCTGGGGGCCTGGAAATGTGGCGCCAACTTTACCCCCTCTCTGACGTATTCAAACTGCAAGTCGATTGTTATTTTTACGCCAACGGCGGAAATAGACATCCTGCCTCGCGTCCTGCGAAGAAAAAAAAAGAAGAAAAGGAAAACTTTAACACAACTTTGGTCGAAAGCGCGAATGGGAAAACAGGGAAATGGCGAAGGAAAAGCGGGCAAGTCAATGTCGACTGAAGGAGTAAATTTTGTGCGGCAGTTGGCCAAAGTTTTTCCCCTGACTGGGCATGCTAGTATGGAGGTACATAGGACCTTGCCATTATTGAAAGTGCCCGTTGAGTAATTTAAAAGTTTGCCCCAGGTCCCAACTTGCAGTCACCCCATTGAACCAGCCGAGGTATTGAGGTCAAATTGATTCTTAATAACAAGAAATCAGACTTTAAATCATATGCCTGTGAAAAGAAAAACTTGTTGGTTCCTGTTGGCCGGTGCATGCAAGCCGATTGCCTCTGAAGTACATAAAATCCCTCAATAATTTTAGCTCGCCAAAAGTTTTTCTCGGTTTTGTAGTTCATAAAAAAGGCCAAAATAGTAGGGCAATCCTGGCTTAACAGGATCTAGAGATGACAGAGTGAGGGAAATAATAAATATACGTTATATCAACATGTAATATGTCAGTCATAAAAAAATACTACAAAAATATATTTGTAATAATTTTTAAGATGTCTACATACTTTTTGACACCGTTGATGAATGATTTTATAATAGTTTTGGTAGAATTTTTGTTATAATTTTTAAAAAAGTATGCAGTGAAAAAGTTTATAATATATTGTTGCATACTTCTTGATACCTTCATGATTGATTTGATTTCCCTTATAAAGAGTACTAGTAAAAATATTACTATTTATTCAATAATAATCCGGGTCACGTCCGAATCCTAGTTTCCCACCTCTAGGACTCGTTTTTCCAATTCGATTGCCCCAAAACAAGATTAGTGTTTGGGGCCAACGAAATCCGCTTTTATTACCAAACGCATTAAATATTCTTGCGTCAATGGACAAAAGCCCGTCGTGGGAAAAGGAATTTGTGGTGCGTGGATATAGGAAAACGAGAATCTGGAGGATAGAGGATGGACTTTAGGGAAAAGGACTCGACTATGTGTCCGGGGCCATTTGGGATTTGTTTTACAATTTAGTCACGCGCTTGGCTCGTTTCTTTTTACAATTCGTGCCCACCTTTTTAATTAATTTCTCCTTTCGTCGCTTTGGCGAGATGAGAAAGCCATTTAAGCGCTTCAAAGGATGCTCGTTAGGGATCTCTGGCGCACTAATGGCAATGTCCATGCAAATCAAAATGGCGACACGGCGACTTCCGTTTCCGCTTTGCACGCTTTCCCAGGCATTCCAAACTTAATCCTTTTCCCCCGCACATTTGTCGCATGCGTTAATTTATGTTTGCCTAGTTTCAGTTCTCAGTTCTCAGCTCCTCAGTTTCTGTTTGCAACTTTTGTACTTAATTAGCATAATGAGAGGTTCTCGGCTGCCATCGTTATTGTTCCTGCCTGCTGTTTGCCCTGCTGCAACACCAAAAACTCCTTCAGCAGGAGTGTATTTAGTCAGTTTGTTGACTTTTCGAGTGTCTGGCAGTTGCACACTTACGGGCCAACTTTGATCAAACATTGAAGATTTCAGCAGTTAAATTGTAGTTAAAATATTGCAGTGGCAGCATGAAATGGTTAATGCTGGAAAAAGTAATTAAAATGCGAAATGTTGCGATAGCAAGCTGAAAATGTGGTTACATTAATAAAATCGAGAGCTTTAAAATGGATAGACCTAAAGACCTAAATTAAATAAATAAAAAATTCAAGTAATAAATATTTGTGCATATATTACAATTTAAATTTATATAATGAAAAAAGGGCATTTAAAAATTTAATTTTGCCCTAAGAACTTTCTTATGTGGTCCTACTTTTCTCTTGACAGAATTGCCCTCATTGATGTTATTTCTTTCTTAAATAATTATTGGGTCAAGTAAAAAACACAGCTTGCTGAGATTTAATGCAGTTCCATGATGAGGAGCATTCAAAACTTGCTACGCCGACGAAAAGTTTTAGAGACGAAAAGCACCCATCCACATATTCAATTGGAGTTACAACTTGTGAAAGTTCAACGTCAATTTGTGTGTTCTTTTTGGGGGCTTTTCGCTCAAAGATTTCATAAATATTAAAAGAGGAATTTCTTTTTATGGCCACAGAAACTAAATGAAACGCTTGTCAGAGTGCTTCAAAGGCACATACATATATATGTCCGTACACCCCGAAAACTTTGGCCAAAAGTTTGCAGACCACAAACTCCTTTTTCTGGGAGTCGAAAGCAGCCAGCTGTGCAATTTGCTGGCAAAACTCAACAATTTGTGTGTCTCAAAAGCATAAGGAGTGTCCAGAAAGTTAGGTGGTCTCCAGCTGGGAGTTGGTCTAAGAACTTTCGGTTGATAACCCAGTTGATTGATAGCCCTTTGCCTTTATTTTAGCTAAGAATCTAAGGATCGCTACGAATCTCAGTCATCGGTTATTTCGCCTTCTTCCAAGGTGTTCTTTTTATCTGGTTGTTTGGTGAGGTCTACTATGGGAACTTGGGAGCTTGACCGTTTTCTATACAATCTGGACCTTATCAGTTTCATATCCACCAAGGGTTGCTGCATGGCAATGGGTGACTTGGAAGGCTCCTCCTCCTTCTCAACATCCTCCTCATCCTTAAAGGAAACCGTTTCTCCGGGCGGCAGGCGTTCCACCCAATCGTAAACCCCATTGGCCATGGGCATCCAGAAGGCGAGCAGTAAATCGCTGCTCACAAACATGGTGGCTTGAGGATTGAACCGCAGACATCGCACTGGACCCACATTGTTTCCTTTAAGGACAGCCACAGGATATCCATCGTCAGCCCGCCAAATGTGAATCCTACCCTCATCCGCTCCAGAAAGTATAAACTGCGAGTCCGGCGTATAGGTTGCATCCAGTGGCTGTCTCAACTGATTCGAGTACCCTGTAAAGGACTGCTGGAATGTGCCATCGAAGGCCGAGACACTGAAGCACCAGGAGTGATCGGTGCTCAGTAGCATGGTCTTTCCATTCGGAGCAAACTGCAGCTGTGTCCACTTGGCCTTGTCGTTCACCTGGTAGACGAACTTCAGGCAAGGCTGCTCGCCCAGCATCCGCACATCATGGATCTCGATACGTTCCGTATCCGAACTGGTGGCCAGGACCAAGCCCGCAGGATCGAAGGCGCACAGAGGTCCTTGCAGCTTCTTCATGTGATGAACATGGGCGGAGGATCGGAAGTCCCACACGTAAACATGATCATCCCGTCCCACGCTGACGAAGACGTTCTCGTTTCCTGGCTGGCAGGCCAGTCGGTGGACACTTTTTGAATGACCGCTGAAAACTCGGACGCAGTGGCGGGTTTCGAGGTCCAGACAACGGATGGCATAGTCATACTGTCGGAGAAAAATTGGAATAATTATATAACTAAAAGATATACAATGGAAGACTTCCGACTTGTTATACAATGCATCATTTGATGACAATTAAAAATGCTCTCTTATATTTACCAATATTCTTTTGTTCATGTACTAAACTCATATTTTCCGAATCGCATCCGGTTACATATATTCGAAGAGGCCAGAAAACTTATAAATTATATAAGTTATCATATAATGCCTTTTGCAGGGAATGCACATTTATAAAAGATATAGGTAATCATACAATGAATAGGAATCACATTTCACATTTCGCTTAAAACCTCTTTCATGGACAGATATATTTGTGTTAACCATTTTTATAATACACTATATACTAGTTTTTCATGTCAATTATCATCTCCTTGCAGTACTTTTATACGTCGTAATTAAATCCACAGTCATATATATTTAAAAATTAAATTCCTCGCTTTCTGCGAAGCTTAGCATTACATTTTTGGAATTTCTCAAGATGAAACCGTAAGTTCTCCGAACCCTTTTCCCTCAAACCACGTAACCATGTCCTTTGTGCCTTTGGCTTTGTGTATGTTAGCCCCCCACCGAGCTCTCCTTTGAGTCCTCTTACCTTTGAGGTGGAGTGCAGGGCGCGAGTGTCCTGCTGGGCGAAGCAGGCCACCTCGGGAAGGTAGTGGTGCATGTGCACCTGGCAGAGCTCCGTCTGCCGAGTGCTGCTGAAGACCGAGAGGGCCGAGTGGTCGCAGGACAGCAGGCGTCGTCCGTCCGGGGAGAAGTCCAGCGAGAGCTTGTGCTCGTCCGTCTCCTGGAACACCTTGGCCACCCGGAACTGCCGCATGGCATCGTCGTTCAACCTTATAGACATTTCGATTAAATCTGGCCTGTATTACGAAAATGTTTCCCAATACAATGTGACATTTGAGGCACTGGCAACTGGGAAACTGATGTTATTACTCCCAATTAAAGACCTGTGTAAGTAGGCAGTATGTTTTGATTACAGCGCAGTTTTACTTTAAAATATCTAAAACAAGAGAGAACGCAATAGCCGAGTGCCAAAAAAAAGAAAATGCGAGGGAGCAAAACTTGGCAAACTTATCTTAGGTCAATCACATCGTTCACCAAAAATAATTTATCAAGTTGGGTAGTCTTTTTTATAGTAAGAAACAAACTAACAAACCTTTAAAATATGTCCATAAAAAAATTTTCTAAGTAGTTTTAATTAAATACAAGCGACGTTCCAAATATAAAACCGTTTGTTCATTTATTGGTTTGAGGACAAGTCATTTCGTGTAATTAGCAGGCGTTCTAAGCGCTATAACCATTTCTTTTAATTTACATTTCTTTGCAAGGGTTCCTTTACCGATCGATCCAGTGCGACTGCTTATCCCAATAGCCGCCATTTTTTTTAACAATTACTTTCACCTCCTCCAATTCTAAGTAGCCTCTGACAACGGATGCTTTTAGTAATCGTCGATTTCATTTCGACCAGGACTCGAATGGAACTTGGCCAGGGTCTCCAGCCTGCCAAGAACAAAGGTCTTAAAAAAAGTAGGAATGCTTGAGCTTCTCAAAAACGTGGTACACCATTTGTTGTTGGCACAACCATTCGGAGCATCAGCGTCTTTAGGAGCCAATGGTGGAATTAATAGACTCGGCGTAGAAGCGAGGAACTCTTCCGTGATTTCAGCTACCAGGAACTTGCATACCAGATATCAGGATTGAAATCTACATGATCCGCGTCGCGCAGCAGTCCACAATCGAAAACATACTACAAAGATAGCATCTGTCGAATCCAATCGTCTCTATTGGCATGGCAGGTCGGTGGAAAAGTCGACGGGTAGGTGCCATATCATGTATAAAATTTTGCCACAATGGTTCTCTATGTAATCCTTCGAGCAGTTGTCCATGTAAACTACCAGCTCGTAATTGATAGACCATTCGAAGAGTACCTTCCGTGCATAGTCCTCGGAGCAGGGGTCAAGAGCAGTCTTTCGAACCACGCACTACTTACTCAGATCCAAACCGCAGTTCTGCTTCTCCATGATGTGGAAGATGCGGCACAGCTCTCGCTCGACGACCATGGGGATGACGAAGGAGCACCTGACCAGCTGGAAGTGCTTGATAAAGGTGGTGCAGAGGTAGGGAGGGTTCATAGGTCGCATGGCACGCAGGAGCCAGTCGCTGGTGTCGCTGTCCCTGGACACCATCAGCAGGAAGCAGTCAAAGGACACGGCAGGAGTACACTCACTGAAACTGAGTGTGGCCACGTCCACCGCCGAATGAAATGATTCCACCAGGTGCTGCAGCACGCAGTCGAAGTTGCAGTCGCACGGATCGCACGCGTTGGTGATCACGACCCCGTACCGCCGATCCTCCGGCATGACCCTGGCGTAGGGAGGACGACCCTCACCGCCCTGGTCACAGCAATTGATTTGGCAGGGATCTCCGCATCCTTGCTCATTCACGGTGGATTGAACACAGGTCGAACTCGGGGTCGGGGTTGACATTTCGGAGCCACTGATACTTGAAGCAGAACTTGAGGCTGAGGAGCAGCCGTCTTCCAAACCGACGAACTCGGATTGAGCGTCCTGAGGCTTTTCGTTTTTCTGGGACATCATTGAAGATGAGGTTGACAGAGTCTCCTTAAACTCCATTTTGTCGCGAAAATGTAAAAGACAAACCAGTTCTTGGCCGTCGAAGGCCTGCAAATCAGCCCTATTCCTGTTGAAGGCTTTGGCTACAGGAAAGTCGTCTGTGAGGATCGTACCGAGGAACATGATTACTTGTCGTTGAACTGGAATTTTGACACTTTTGAACAACTCTGATTTAAGATTGGTCACGCTAAAATTTTGTTTTACATTTATAAAGACTGTCTGCCTAAACTTGTTTAGATTGTTGAAAAACACTTTCAAAAACATGTTGACAAAAATTTTACAAAAATAGGAAGTTGTGTACTGGATAAGTTGTGAAGTTGTACTGAATGTAAATCATCAGTGCTAGAGGAACGAGGCCTTGAAGTTTCGTTTTTTGCCTCCTTTGTTGACAAACTTTAAAACTATTGATTAGGTCACCTTTAATTTTGTTTTTATATATATAGTTTAACATATTTAATATGTATATACAAGATGGAAGTACAACTTTTTTATATCACCTTATGTTGATATTTCGTTTAGGTTTTTCCGAATGACATGGGCTCTTTTATCATTCTAATTTAACTGATTCCACCAACATTATTTTCAAGTGACTGGCCTTAAACTTAAAGCAAACTGATTTGAATTTGCCTCGGATCAAGTTGATTAAATCAAGTGTTCAACCGCCTGCCACGCCCAGTGGAACGCCCACTGGCGCAGCTGGGGATGCATTTTAATTTCCATTTCGCGACCAAGTCCCAGATAGCCTCGTTCCTCATCATTGCGTCTCATTAGGGGAATGGGTGGTGGGTGCTGAGTAGGGGGTACTGGGTGTTTGGATGGTTGGATGGTGGAAATTGAAGAAAAAACTGTCTGCTGAGTTGGCAACGCAACTCGCCGTCAGCTCCTCCAATCTCCACTTGTTGACCAAATGCCAGGAACTTGTTATTTAGGCCGATTTGCGTCATTAGTGCAGCAGAGGACCCGTTTTCCACCCGCCGGGAAATGCGGGAAAACCCAAAAACTCGGAGTCTAGGCACCATCTGTCGAGTGGGCAAACATTTTTGGCAGTAATAATTGAGGGAAATTCCAAGAGTAGAAAGTGAACTTTTAGTTGGTGATTTAACTTGGAGAATATGAAAACTTTCTATCAAGAATTTCATCACTGTATTAAACTATTCTTATCATTCTTTTTTTGGATTTCTTTATTATTATTAAGGAAAATGCTTTTTTCTTGTATAAGAAAGCAGTGGTACTTTCTCCGCCGACAAAACATATTTTGATTGTTTTATAGTTTATGATTTTAAAGCCATTATTATTAAACATTTTCTAAGGTTCTATAAAAACTTTTTAGGATACATAATATCTCATCTAAAATAATAAAGGTAACTGATGTGTAGAAAGAGATTTCCGTTATGGAAAAAATCATCAAAATTCAACTTAAATAACTAACAGTTTATAATTATTATATTATAATTATGTTTAAATATTAATTTTTTGTTATGGTTCTATGATAACTTTTTGGGTCACTCGATAGCCCATTTAAGAAAACAAAATAAATCAACCTTCGGGAAAAGGTATTTATCATGAAAAAATTAATGTTCTATTCAGCAGGCTAAGCTGAAAATACTATATAAATAAATATTATTAAATAATATAAACCTTTTTAGAGAAACGTAAGTATATCTTGTACCTCATATCAAATCCTTCAATTTGATTTAACGTTGTTTGGTGAAGGTCCTTGGCTGGTGGGCACAATGGTGTTCCCCACCTAGATGCGGATTTGTGCAGTGACCTCGAGTTTAGCACCTGGCCATATCAATAGCCCCGACCAGGTGATTGTGGTCGGAATGGACTGAGGACTGTGGACTGCGCAGATGGAGGTACGACTGGATGACCCTGGTGGCAAGGCGGATGCGACTTGGCCCAAAGGCAAATGTAATTGTAATGTAAGCGGAAATAAGCGCCGCGAGGACACGCAGTGCTCACTCCCATCTGGCGTCGCATTTTAATTAAAATTTATAAGCCTTGGTCGGGGATTTGGCACCGAGCCACAGGATGTTGGATGCTGGCTGTTCGCAGGACCAAAAGGTTGGAGAGCAGGACCAGGAGCCCGAGCAGTCATTGCCGGCACGGCGTTTTAAGCTTTTAAGTTGCGGTGGATTTGCGAGGCTTTCGGAATCGGATTTTATGTGAAAATCAACTGCGGTGCGCATAAATTAAAAATCAGTCCGCAACAACAAACAAAACAGCGGCGGAGCCTATGGGCGAATTATTTGTAATTAATTTGCCATATTAGCTTTCTCCCACCGCCACAGGTATTTCCATTGATCCCAGGTGCAGAAAAAAATAAAGAAGTAAGCGAACAAAAACTGCTCGGCAATTTGCGGCTTTGATTGTCGAATTAAATTAAATTTATTTAAACAGAAACAATTTCGAATTATCGTTATTATCCGTTTGAATGGCTCTTGCCATAATTGTTTTCAATCAAATGTTATTAATAATATCAATTACAGGTTGGGAAATAATGAAGGAGTAACATCGAACCTATGGTCATAATAAATGCTTGCCCACCAAATAGATTTTTACTTGATTCGAATTTATGTAAACCACTTATGTTAAACACAATTTGGCTTTTTAATCAAATGGGATTATACAGCTAATTAAGAAAAAATAAATTTATTTAAATTCCACTTTAAACCTTTAAAAACTTAAAAACAACTTTGTACTCCACAGATTCGCTTGGTATTTATCCAAAATTCAATTCAAATTATAATTATTTTTTTTAAACGGTTTTTTTTATCCGGCTTTCTTATCACAATTGCCTTCATCCGTGAGTTGGTTTTTTCGGAAATAAATCCTCTACAAAAGTAAAATAAACATTTGTGGCAAACTGCGGTTTACCATCGAATATCCAATCTATTAAAAGTAAGTACTCTCCAGTTGGTAGACTTACAGGAACTTCAATGCGATGGAAATCGCTAACCATTTGTAAGCCCTGCAAATCCATTACATTAAAATTGGTTAACGAGTCTCGAAAGGCAATATTACCACATAAGGACAGGTGTGGTTCACCGTCGATACATCCTTGATCAAATTCCAGATGATCTTGGCAACGGGCTGGTTCCGTCTTCTCATAAACTCGCAGGCATCGAAGGTATAATCAAATAAAAACGGTTTATATCCACTGGCCTTCTTCATCATCTTCATATGAACGAATATGTTATTTGCTGGCTCTATAAACGTGGCATTTATATGCAAGCTTGTCTTGTTTCGGGAATAGGCCTTCAGGCGGCAATAATGAATAAGAACCCACGATTTGTTGTACGACTCACAAAAGAAATTTGTCATTTTAACAAATGGAGCCTCCTGAGGAAAGACATAATTAATTGTAGTATTCATTTAAGTCCTCTTTTCTCCTCTTACACTACAGACTAGAAAAGCAACTAGCAATGATACTCCAAAAATTGTAATTCTATGATCCATGGCTGAGTACCATTCAACAACTGTCGAGATACAGACATTTTTGGTTGACTTTACATGTTCATAATATCGTTAAACTGCTATTTATCTGTCATTAAACATTAAATTGTGAGTGGTCATTCAAATTACTAAAATGGTACAAAACAAAAAGCAATCAACCGAAAATAATATAATTTGGGTATTCATTTACCAGCTTCAAGAACTTTTTTTATGTGAAATAATGTGTAGAAATAATGGTTAATAATAGTGGTTTATTATTCACCTAATAGGGGAGTGCGAGGGAGATGAAGAATGCATGCTGCAAATCGAAGATACCTCGGAATAAGCCTTTTAATCAAATAAAAATTGTTAAGCTGCAGGTGTATATAAACTTCGGGAGTCCGAAGTAATAATTTTTCTTTCTTTGAATGACTATTCAAGACTATTCAGCAGTAAGAACCCTATGTTACCCCTTAAACAAGCTTTGTTGCCAACCGAAGAATTCAGAGATAGTACATTTCCCAGTACATAATGGTAGATATCCCTCGCTTTTACCCACCTATTCACCACTTGCCACAATCGTCACAAATTTCGCCTGGCGGGGATTACTGTCCTCGGTGGCCTTATCATTGCACCACACACCCAGACAAACAGACAGGCAGAAACGGGTGCAGGATACCCAAAACCAAACTGGTGGCCATTAATTGCCGCCTTTCGATTATCCTTGCGACAAATATCCATTTGGCAGTCGGCCAGACAGGATTTCTGTTAGCCAAAAGCTCTGTTTACTGATATTTTATGCGCCATTCTGCACTGCAATTGCACTAATTGCAATTTTAGGCACGTTCCCTGGCCATTTGCATAACACGAATTCGCCATTTAATTGTTCAAAAAATAGATTCAAAATTTCCCCATGCACATGTCGTCGAACGTGGTGTCAAAAACCAGGAGAGATGACCGAAAAAAAAAATTGAATTATAAATCTGTTGCCTGGCTGGCGATTTAATTGCGCCATGTAGGTTACAAATCGAAAATCCTGGCCAATGGATTTTTGTTGTTCGGCCAAAGTGCAATTTGTTGTCAAGTTTTGAATGAATTCCTTAAGAGAGCATAAATTTTACAAGCTCATGGTATTAGGGGAGGGGACCGGGAAGGGCTTTGGAAATATGGGGTGTTAAGTTTATTACGAACTGGGGGGGGGGACTCACAGACCCACTTGACTTGGCGAGTATAAAGGTTCCAAATGGCAGCGCAGCTAAAAATTTGTGCAAATTTTTCAATTTCCAGGACCTAGATCCTGGAGAGAGTGTCGGTAAATCCTGGCGACTGTGCGTTTGTCAAGTTGGCAGCAACAACAATTGCAGTTCACATACCAGGAGGCGAAGTCAGTCGAAAACCAAAGCCAAAGTTCAAACACAATATCTCAAATATGCACAGGCATGTGCAGAGTTTTGTGTTTGTGTTGGTAGGCAGGTTTAAAAATACACTAGAAAGTGTTAAAAAAAATAACAAGCTAGGGAAAATATTAAAATTTTATCCAAAAATCTCTTTAGATCTACTTTTAAGGAATAATATTTAAGAATTTTATCTGACTTCCTAACAGTTTTACATCTTTAAAGAACCCAATTTTAGACCTTTAGAAATTCTTTTCCTTAAAATATGGAATAAGAAGTAGATCTTTAAATATGATATCATTATTTTGTATCTTTCAAATTATAATTTTTATGGAGGTCTTGCTTTCCGAAACCGCTTGTTCAGAAATTTAAGTAATCAAAGTAATTCAGGGTTGTAATAAGTATTTTTCTTAAAATAAGAAATTAAAGATATATCCATTTGAACATATTACATTATTATTAATTTTATTATATATATTATTATTAATTTTATTATTTTAATTTTTATGAAAACAAATCAAAGCGATCCCTATTAAAACTTCCACACTAATAGTTTGGCTTATAAGTCGGCGTCCTATTAAGGCACCATAGGAAAAGCTCTGCTCAGCCTCTGCCGGCACTCGTTCAGCGTACAATGTCGATGCGTGTGTGACGACTGCTGTTCCGTGCCAATTACATTACAATGATCCCTGCTATAAAGTGTATTTTATGTATAGCTTTTAAAATACACATTTTCTCTTGATTGCTAAAATACTTTTACCTAAATATTTTTTATCTAATACAAAAATGAGTCATGCTTTCTATTTCCCTCGGTGTAAGCCTGCACTTTGCAGTACACGCGTTCCTCGTGCGTTGCTCAGTAGCTGGCTTGCACCTCTGGAATTGAATGGTCGAGTGCCACGCCCCTTTGAGCCGTAAAAGAAGATAAATGACAGAAGTGAGCCATATCAGACACAGTCAGCAGTGAGCAGTGAGCAGTTGGCAGCATGGAACGAGAAAACCAGCAGCCAGCGGCTCTAACTGCTTTGCATTTGGCCCTGCAGGTCGGCACAATTTGCCATCTTGAGGCTGCAGACGTCGGCCATCATCAAAAGGGAGTCCCTGTGACGCCGTGTCCCTGTGTGTCCCTGTGTCCCCGATCCTTGGTCAACTTTGCATTTGATTAAAAGCGGATAGCCGCCTCTGATGAATTGCACATGTGGCAGCTCCTTTCGTTCCCCGCCTTTGTGCCCTTATGCCATTATCAGGCCAAGTCAAGGCACACTATACGTATACGTGATGCGTATTACGTATACGTACTTGCCCATTCCCATTCCGCCCAGCTCACCTTCACCTTTCGCTGCTGGCCTAGAGCACACTCGCAATCTCAATGGCCGGGTTGGGGGAAAAAATTTAATTTAATATTCATATGACTGTAAAACGCTACTAAAGTCGCAAAAAATGAAACGGACAGAAAATGCTCGTTAAATAAACCAAGAAAAAAATTCCAGAAAATAACTGCGAGTGTCTGTATGGCATAAAAAGGAAAGTAAAATGAAGAAAGGCCTTTATCACCAAGGCGAAAAATAAGTACACTTCGTTTTGAGTAATTATTTGTTGGTAATATTTATAAAATAAATATATTTTTCAGTAATCTAATTTTATAATCTTATATTATTCTAAATATTTTGTAAAAAATAAATATTTCTTCTTTTTTATGTATTTTAACAAATACTTGTATGCATTTTTCAAGTACCGGGGTTCATTTTAATTAAAGACAAATTATGAAATGAAAGGGTTCTGTTAAGATATGACTTATACCCCTCTTTTTGCCTCATAAGCACTGTTTATTTCCTTCCAGAGAGTAATATACCACCGCTATTTGGTTAAAATTCGCTCCGTAAGATCTGTCGTCCAGAAATATGACACTGAGCTCCACAGTAGGTGGTTCTTTGTGGGGGATGGCCTCCCCCCGAACGTCATACAAAGTAAACACGCTCCGCACTCGGCAATGACAGTGGGCATGAAAATTTATTGCTCTCGCCCCAGAAATGCCAGACTCCAGACTCCCAGCCCAGACTGCCAGGCGTTGGAGTTCCGAATCCGTATCCGTATCCCCGTATCCGAATCCGAATCCGCGGCGCATTAAATTTCGGCGGCAGGAGGATGTCTGCCATGCAACATGGCATACTATGGCACTGACAAAAGTTGCAAAGTTGGAAATGTTGGCCATGGCCGAGCTCGACATGAGGGAAAAAAGAATTACGGTCGCAAATGGAAATACGGGGATATAAATTCCAGCACAAGGAAATGCTGTGAAGGACCTCCTTGCTATATGACTTTTGTAGCTCGAAATGTATATTTTTTAATATGCATAAATTGCTCAACTATTTTATTTGATTTTATTTTCGGGCAGCCGACCGGAAATCAAAATGACTTTTGTTAAATACATTTCACAGATGCATTTACAGCTTTTATAAAAATTTTATTTAAAATACATTTTTTGATAGCTATTTCATTGAAGTAAATAATAAATATTTAAGCCTTGAGCTAAACAATTGAAAAACCACAAGCCAAATGAATAATATTTAAAATTAAAAAACAGATTGTTATGCATCCAATCAGGTTAAAAAAGAAAATACCATTTAATCGCATGCATGTGTGTGTACATTTCATGTCATAATAACCAGTATATGATTTTGATATTTTTTCGCAACTGAAAATGAAAAAAAGTTAAGAAGTAAAGCGGCTTGGGCCTTCAGTGCTGACAGCGAATTTCACAGTGGCCCACAGTAATTGTCCTTCCTGTTGTTGTGTGTGTGTCTGTGTGTGTTTGATGTCCTGACAGTTTGCCCGTGCTCTTGACAGCGAGTGTGTTTGTGTGTGTGCCTGGGTGCGAAGTGCGAGAGTGTGTGTTTGTCTGTGACAGGTCCTGCCGCGAAGCCGTTGACAGTTGTCAATGTTATTAGCGATATTAGGGGAGCACCGGAAGTTGGATGGGCATGTGACATGTATCTCACGCGCGCGCCCCGAAAAGGATTGGAATTATAAACAAAACACACTTTTTATCTATAAATGTCAACATATATCTTTGCCATTTGAATTTAAAGATTTCCAGTATCTATATTTATCATGAAGCTTATTATTAAAACTTAAGTTTTTATTAGGTATCGAAAAAATAAGTTTGTTTAGTTTGAATTCCATAGTTTTCACTTTGACAAACAACTGTAAGTACACAAAAAGTTAAATTAAGTGAATTAATATTATGTTTAATTCCGAAATAAACATACTTTACAGAATAAAATTAAGTAATATACTTCCTTTCAAAAATTGTTTAGTCTTATAACCTTAGGAAGGACATCACGCACACATCTCTATCAGCTTTTGCCAACAGATTAACCTTAAAAAAAGTGAGCCAACTGTTAATCAAGACCTTTCCGCAATCCCCCTATTTCCACTCTAATTGAGTTCTGAAGACTGACCAGTTACAGGTTTCTCTTTGGCTCCATGTTTTGTTTGTCTCCAATATCTTGCGGCTGATTCCCTTGAAGTCAAACAGCATTTTCGTTATCTACGACTTTCCAAGGAACACAAAACTTCATCTATGCTCCCTAAGCTGCACATGTCCCACTCCATTCACTGCACACGTATTATTTGCTGATTGCGAAACAAATATTGACAAGGCCGTAGATCCTTGGCCTTTTTCTCAGTTTTCTCCAGCAACCATTGTTGCCCAGTTAGCCGCTTTAAAGGTATATGAAAATATAAATCGCACAAAATAAAAGCAGATCTTAATACAGGCTTAAAAATATATTTTAAAATAAAGGACAAGAATATAGGCCAAAATGTAGAATCCACCAAAAAAAAAAACGAGAACATGTAATTAGCATTCTGCGTTGTAAGCGCAATAACCATTTTACTTTTTATTTAAAATTTTCTGTACTCGAACTTGTCAAAACATTTATTGACAGGGGTTCCTCTACCGCGCGATCGATCCAGTCCAATTGTTTATCCCAATAGCCGCCATTTTTTTTTAAACATTTACCATCACCAATTCTAAGTTGCGTGAGAACGCGATTGTATATAGTAATGGATTTGGTAGGCCGTGATCGAATTCGTTTTGCCAAGGTCTCCAGTTTGCCAAGGGCAAAGGGTCCTCTATAATGGACTTGGCGTAGAAGCGAGGATACCAGGATCTTGCATATTTTCCCGGATGTTGGAACCACAAATAGGGATCAAAATGTACATGCTCATGACATGACAAACATACTGATTACGTCTACATAGTATCCTTTTAATGCAATCCTCATTGGCATGGCAGGTCGGTGGAAAAGTCGACGGGTAGGTGCCAAAATATGTACAAAATTTTTCCACAGTGATTCTCTATGTAATCCTTCGAGCAGTTGTCCATGTAAACTACCAGTTCGTAGTTAATGGACCCGTCGAAGAGAACCTTCCGTGCATAGTCCTCGGAGCAGGGGTCCAGAGCAGTCTTTCGAACGACGCACCACTTACTCAGATCCAGACCGCAGTTCTGCTTCTCCATGATGTGGAAGATGCGGCACAGCTCTCGCTCGACGACCATGGGGATGACGAAGGAGCACCTGACCAGCTGGAAGTGCTTGATAAAGGTGGTGCAGAGGTAGGGAGGGTTCATAGGTCGCATGGCACGCAGGAGCCAGTCGCTGGTGTCGCTGTCCCTGGACACCATCAGCAGGGAGCATTCGAAGGACACGGCAGGAGTACACTCGCTAAAGCTCAAAGTGGCCACATCAACCGCCGAGTGGAATGATTCCATAAGGTGCTGCAGGACGCAGTCGAAGTTGCAGTCGCACGGATCGCACTGGTTGGTGATCACGACCCCGTACCGCCGATCCTCTGGCATGACCCTGGCGTAGGGAGGACGACCCTCTCCGCCCTGGTCACAGCAATTGATTTGGCAGGGATCTCCGCATCCTTGCTCATTCACGGTGGATTGAACACAGGCCGAACTCTGGGTCGGGGTTAACATTTCGGAGCTACTGATACTTGAAGCACAATTTGAGGCTGAGGAGCAGCCGTCTTCCAAACCGACGAACTCGAACTGAGCGTCCTGAGGCTTCTCGTTTTTCTGATACATCGTTGAAGATGAGGTCGACAGAGTCTCCTTTAACTCCATTTTGTCGCGAAAACGCAAAAGACAAACCAGCTCTTTGCCGTCGAAGGCCTGTAAATCGGCTCTATTCCGGTTGAAGGCTTTGGCTACAGGGAAGTCGTCTGTTAGGATCGTACCGAGGAACATGATTACTTGTCGTTGAACTGGAATTTTGATACTTTTAAATAACTCAGATTTTAGTTTTGACACAGTAAAATTTTGTTTCACATTAATAAAGCCCGTGTGCTTAAACTTGTTTAGATCGTTGAAAAACACTTGCAAGAACATGATGACAAAAATTTTACAAAAATAGGAAGTTGTGTACTGGACGAAGTGTGAAGTTGTACTGAATGTAAAACCTCATGGCTAGACGAACAAGGCCTTGAAGTTTCGTATTTTGCTTACTTTGTTCTGAAATTTTAAAACTATTGATTTGGTCACCTTAGATTTCACTTTGTAATCCAAAGAGTTTCTCAATATTAAAATATTTAAAGTAAAACATTGCTTTAAAAAGTTTATTTCTTTGTTAAGCTTTTTGTGTTAAAGTTTTTATACATATGGATTTTTAAATTTCTTTTCAATATATTTTCCCATCTGGACCTGGCATCACTGGTCGAAACCCGCAGAGACGTTTCTCTTATTTTTTCAGTCTGCCATATCATGTTCCATGTTGACGCACTAGCACAAAAGCTGAAATTATATTTAAAACTTCTCTTTCTCGCATCCTGTCTTCCTCTGTGGCTATTTCATTTTCTCCCTCTCTTTTTTACTTTCTTTTCCTGGCTTGTGGATGGCATGTTATTTACTTTTGTGGTCATTGTGGGCCATCCTCAGAGGCCCCCAAAAGCCCCAAAGTTATAATTCTTTAAGTTTTTATCTGCCGCACACATACTTGGCTGCTTAAGTGGGCGTACTCGCAATATCTGGTCTATATGTATTTTTGGGGGGGGGGGCGCCACTCCAGCCATAATTTTAGCATATTAATGATTTATGATGTCTAAGGGAGCGAGAAAAGCGAACGAATTAACAGCAACAAAAGCAGCAACAACGGCCCTAAAGTTCCTGTCTATTTTCATTTAGAATTCGCTTAATTTCCATTTGCCGCCCCTAATGAAAATGTCGGACAACAGCCTGCTACGCGGAAAATGAAAATTCTCACTGACTCTTTGGGCCACTTTCAATTTTAATTAAGAGTTGAACCTTTGACTCGGCTCATTTAAGGCCCTTACATTCGGGTTGGTTTGGGCTGCTTTACTTTCGGGCGATTTATGGGTATACAACAAATTTGTTAAGCTAATGATGCCATTTTTCCTGCCCAAATTACCTGACCAGGCCCACGGGGCGGTTGATCCAAACCATCTCATTCCATCTCCCCCAGAAATACACAAATAAAATCAGGCCAAACATGGGAGAAGGCCGAGTGCCTAGAGTCATGTGTGGTTTTTATATGGATAAATTGCTTGGAGATGCTGGGAGCTGTTTTCGGAACTAGTTCGCTTGTAATATTAGGAAATAAATTGAAAAACATTGGTGCGAAATGGTTATTTATTGTTGTGATTATATAAATGTATAAAACATTTGAATGGCTTACAAATTATTTAATTTTGCTAGCAAAGATCTTATGACATTTGCTTAATTTAAGACGTTTTAAGCTGACTGAATTTATTTTAAGCGCGACAACATTTCATGAATTTATATATGAAATGGTGTGGAGGTTGCAATGACTTTTTTAAATAAATCCAGTCAGTTAGTCAAAAAACAAAGCAAGTGTCATAAGGCCCTAATGCATAGATGATATTACCTTTAGACATATCTCCCTATGATAGATCTTTAAAAATCATTAATTTCTAAAATTGTAAAATCTTACCTAGTTTAAGAAAATTAAAAATATAAAATCTAAAATATTAGCATTCCTATCTTTTTTCTACATCTCTCTAAATTTCTAGCTAGTTCTCTTTCCTGCATCTAAACATCTTCGGCATCAACTATTGAGACTAAAGCCCAACGTTTGTCCAGCAAGTTGTGCCAACTCAGCAGAAATATTTGCTGTGGCTTACCGACAAATAAGTACCTGCCATAAAGGCGGAAGATACTTAACCTGAGCCGTTCTTTATCCACCATTTCCGGGAAAACTGCAGACAAGCAGTGGACGAGATGGCTAGTAAAGCTGGCCCAGAGAACTTGTTTGAATTTCCATTTAATTAGCGACCACGTTTGTCCAGGCAAAATCACGGCAAATCAGGGTGAATCAGGTCGGCAAGACCATCGCCAGAAATGCAATGAAAGCAAACCGAAGTCTATTAAGCAGGCAAAGCCAAAATGGCAACATAGCGCTCCGATTTAATGCCAATAAACCGCGTGAGGCATTGGCATCCGAGCCAGACAACCGGGTTCCTGTAACCGAGTTAACCAGCCAGAACCTAGTTGAAACCCCAGACCAAATGGGGGATTCCACACAATGCTCCATCGGGGAAAAGCGGGGGGAAATGTGGGATGCGGGGAGACAAAGGGCTGGAGGAAAAGAGTAATCTACCAACTGAATGTGCAACATGCCAATGCACATGATGTGTTTAATGGTTAAATTGTTGCTAATTCCATTAGCCGTTTGCTGACCTGCATTAAGCCCACTTCTACGTGTTGGTGCACAAGGAAAAATTTCCCAAGGATCTTAAAATTGGGTCTAAAGTAGAGGTTTTTAGCTGTCTTTAAATATTATAAAATCATAAAACTTCTCATGAAGAAGCAGTATTTTTTAAGAATGTCTTTAAATACAAATCTTTTTTCTGATTTAAGAAAATATAAACTAAATGTGGGAGTTAAATTGGAGTACTCTTTAGTTGATCCAGGTAATTTTTATTTAAAAAAGGGTCAAGCGCGAATTCTTTAGAACTCTATAACATTTAAACAATTTTTTTTTGGCTTTAATACGAATGGAGAAAATATAATTTTGTTCATAAAAGTAATACAAAATATTTTAATTTAAAAAAACGGAAATACGCGAGTTCTTCAGAGATCTGTTATACTAAAAAAATTGATCTTCACAATTCAGAATAAAATAAATTTATAAAAAATGTTACTGAATTTCTCTCAGTGCCCCGTTCTGTGTGCAAGGATCTATTTGTGGTGGTGTGGGTGTCCGTGCTGGTGTGTTTGTTGTTGTTCTTGTGGCCAAAGTGTTGCAATGCCCCCAACTCCACCAAGGCAAACAGAAGACCAGGCCAGAACCGAAAGGCGACCCGCTGGCAAATGGAACGTGCACAAATTAATGTTACGTTGACGCAATGTTGGCAAGGCTCGAGTACCGTGACCCCACTCCCTGCCCCCGGTAACCTCCTCATCCCGCCCACTTAGCCACCCACTAAACAGACCCACCCGCCTCAAATTTGGCACATTGTTTGCCAGGGTGTGCAGATTTGTCAAACGTGTTTCGGGGTGACGGAGGCGGAGATGTTTGAGTACCGGAGCTGATTGGAAATGCCATACATTTAGGGGCACTCGCAAACGGCCAAGGGCAGCACTCCGGTGGGGATCCCCCAGCATTTACAGCCGGAAGAAATTAGCCTGCTGAAAATTTCATTGATTCCAAGGGGTCCTGCTTAATGTTACCTAGGGTAATGTGGGTAAAGATGTACTCCATTTTAAAAGCTGTAATCTGTCTTAAAGTGTTCTCAACCACATAATGTTGACTATATGTATGAGGCTATCTAACAATATGGAATAATACTATTACCTCTTTAATTGGTTATTTATATTTCCTTTTTTAAATGATTTATTAAATATATATCTTTAATCATTAAAAATAAAAAAATTATATAATAATATACAATTTCAATTGGATTTCCCTGTCTTAATTCCATCTCCATTATTTAAATCCAAAAGCCCTTTGTACCTTTACAGTCCTTTTCAAGGATTTAAAATTTCAGCATCAAAGATTTTTCGCACCTAAGCCCCCAGAATTAAAAGCTACCCGGCCAAATGATTTAACCCACAAAAAACCCTAAAACGTGGGGGCGCATTAAATTTGTTTAGTATGTGCACTAAAGTAAACGCGACAGGGCATCAAGCCGCACAAATGGTTATGGGAATGGGAGTCTGGGTTGGGGGTACCCTCCTGATCCCCCCTTTCGCTACGCTCCGCCAGCTTCATTCAGTTAACGCGTCGCAGTGGCGTAGTTGGCACTTTTCTATTTATTTGCCCATTAACGCTCATTTGCGGTTATCAGGTAAATTGGATAAAAGCCAACGTAGCATGAAGCCTGGGCTCTGTGCCCGTGCCTCCACCTGCGCCTCCTCCTGTGGAAAATCCTGTGAAAAGTCCTGTTTTCCCAGGCCGCCTCCCATTTCGAGCTTTCTGGCACTGCTTATCTTCGAGTGTTGTTGCAACATGAAATGAAGGCTTCGGCTTTGACTTTGCCTCCCGCCACACTGGGCATAAAAAATAGTAATGAGCTTATAAAATTCAGCTGAAAAAGTGATGAAATGAGCTTAAAGATAAATCCAATTAAATGGGGAAACTGTGTGGCCAATTAAAAGTGGGCTTCATAAAGGCAAAAGCTTCAAATGTGTAGCCATTTAAATTAAATGTATGTTTGAATATAAAAATATATATATTTTTTAAATTTGTTTAAAATAAATAACCACAAAGTTAAAAACATTTTAATATATTATTTAAGATACAACATCCCTCTACAATGTAAATATAAAATATACAAAATGTATTATACTTGAAATAATATTTTTATTATAATGCCTAAAATAGTTTACTCCTTTATAAACTTGAATTCACCTATTTTTTCTCAGTGTTGAAAGGAAATCAAAATCTTTCTCCAAGTGTCCTCCCAATTCCTCGCTACAAACGTATTTATTTCGTTTTTGCGTTAACTGCGCGAGTCATTAACTTTTTACGACTGTTTGATCCTGGTCTATCAATCCGCACGCAAATATATATCCAAATTCAAATTGAATCCAAATATTTGCGGTGACAGAGAGCAAACCTTAATTTTGGCAAGCAATCCGCAATTCGTTTGGCCTAATACATAAAACGATTCGTTGCCGACTTATGGGGGCCACATAAAATTTCATATTCCCTTTGTGGCAAATATTTTCAGCCTTCGACGGGCGGGAAAAGAGTCGAAATTTAAATGCGCCATATTGCAAGCTCAAATGAAATTTTGTGGCTTGTTGCAAAACAAAAAGCTGCAAAAAAATTGGATGTACATAGCACAGAAGGGAAAAAATGGGCTGCATCACAATGCTCATGCACACGCGGTGGCATTGTGGCCGGGGATCGGTGTTGTCCTTTGTCCTTCGTCCTTCGACGCCGTCCACTGCATGCGGTCGCTCAATATGGAAGTGCATAGGGTAAAGGCTCAGCCATGCACTTGAAAAAAATACTAGGAAATGCAGTGCGAAATAGACAAAATGCTCATGAACTACAAAATGTGTACTTTGAATTTAATTTTTTTGTTTTATTTGTTTGTTTAATTTAATAAGTGGTTTTTAAATAAATAAAATAAGTTTAAAAAAATAATTTTCTATTTTGCAGGTCATAATTAAATGTGAGTATAATTTACAGTGATTTTCAACGATATTAATTATTTTTAAACCATTTAAAATAGAATATTTTATGTATAAATACCAATTTCAATATTAAGACCAATGGTAAGTTAAATAAATATTTTAAATGTACACTAATAGTCTCTAAAAAATGGTTTGTCAATATACAAATAAAAAAAAACCTGGTTCTCTATTTTGGAATCCATTATTAAAAGTAGGTATATCTTAAAGACAAATATAATTCAATTTTCTTTAGAATTTTAAATGATTTGGATGTGATATATAAAATAATGTAAAATTGGTATAAATACCAAATGTAACATTAGTAACTTTTGGTAAAATTAAAAAAAATCATGATCTGTAAATTTTTTCTGAATGAGCTGAAACTCAAGCTGAATAGGAGAAAGGCGGTTCGGGTGAAAGGGGGCGTGTCAGTTGGTCTGCGGTCGGTTTGCGCTAAATTAAATTTCGACGCGGTTGCCCCCAAAAGTCCAACACACTTGCACACCCGTTCACAAATTACTATTGCGCCAAAATATAAAAAGCAAAAACCCAACAGCAATCCTTATACAAAAGCAACATCTGCCCGCTGCACTTATGCAACATGGCCAAAAATAGAAAACGAGAAAAGAATTGCAAAAAAAGGTCCCTTTTTTATTTTTGCCATTTTGTATATTTCAGTTCGACATCGCCATTGAGGAAGATCCCCAAGCCGGTGTCTGCGCCCAGGGGCACCTTTTTGGTCTGCTCCACCAGATAATTGGAAAGGATGTGCACGATGGCGGTCTTAACACTCAGTTGACCCACTCGCATACCTAAAAAACATGTAAATAATTCTGAACATACAAAAAAAAGATAGGAAACTAAGCAATACGTAATACCGATAAGTATAAAACCGTATATTAATACTAATATTATATATTTATACAATTTAGTAATGCCAGTTTTGATATATTTATTATACATAGCTAGTTTAATTTTAGGACTTACCTAAGCAAATGCGAGGACCATCACCAAAGGGTAGGAAACATCCACGTTTGTTAAAACCACTCGCTGCTCCATTCTCAAATCTTTCTGGCCTAAAGTCACTGGCCTCCGGATAGATGTCATCATCGTGGTGGTACTGAAAGGCAGGGACCATCACTGTAGTGCCTGGTTCCAAGTCCACGGTTTTCTCATTGTCCAAGTCAAGCTGGGTGGGCTTTGTGCAGATCCGTATAAAGAACCCAATGGGAGTGGTCAGTCGAAGAGATTCTGGAATTATGTTACATTTATGTCGGAAAACATTAAATTATTATAAGAAACATGAAGAATCATATATGATATTTTATTTCTCCGCCTAGATTAATAGACCACCTACCATTCAAGCATTGATCCAGGTAGGGCAGGCCATTGAGCTTTTCATAGCTGATATTCCCATCGGAGGCCAAGGCATCTAGTATTTCCGATCGCAGTTTTTCCTGCTCTTCACGGTGCTCGCTCAGCTGATAAGATACAATGTTGTTAATTATGAAGTAAACAGATGGGTAGGTATATATAAATATTATAAAATTGTCTAACCGAATAGAGCATGTGGTAGAGAACTGCCCCGGATGTTTCGTATCCATCCAAATGAACGGTGAGGGCGTGACCCACGGAGTCGTGAATGGTATTTCCCCGCTCCTGCAGCTGGATGAGATGAGATAGGTAGTCCGTGCGACCCTCCGTACATCCACCTTGCCGGAGTTTCACTGCATCCTGGGTCAATCGCAGGAAGAACTCCTCCGAAGCCTTGGTAAAAAACCGCATGCCGAACAGTTTTCGCACAAAGGTGGCCACCAGACTCTTGTTGTATCGGATCATCGAGCTAAAGGCATAGACGGTCCAGTCCGTGGAGGTCTTCTGGAAGGCCCCGATCTCCCCAACTTGGCCGCTAAGTGAACCCGCATCAATGCCCCATATAAAGTCCGCCATTGTGTCGGCCGTATAACGATAGGATAGCTGAAAAATAATACAATAATTATGTTATTATGTTATATTTACGTCGGAAAATATTAAACTAAACATGATTTCCCGATTTCTAAAAGTCATTTTAAGGTGCTAGTTTATTATTTTTCAAAAAAAATTTGGGAAGACAAATTCGTTATCTCATTTTTCTCAAAGTTTAGTTTGCAGACAAAGTGTTGAATTTGTTTTTACAAGTTTTCTTTTGACGAGCGACAGGTTTAACTTAAACATAACCTCTAGTTAAGAGTCACAGTTAACAGTCAGATAAAGAACACACTAAATGTTTCCAAAAACACAAATTAACGACTGTAGTTAACCAGACATTGAGAAATCGGCCGCTATTCAATGTAACTTCCGGTTTAGGTACTCACATCTCTGGTTTCGATGATATCACCCTTTTCCCGTCTCGCCCTTTCTATGTATTCCACGAGCTTCCGGCCACTCTGCTCCCAAATGGTGAAGGCCTGTTTCAGTCGATTGGGTGTCAATCCGCCCACATTCTCAGTGCGCCTTCGTTTCCACTCCTCGCCAGCGCTGAAAAAGGGCGACCTCTCCGCGTATTTCTCATCCGGGTTGTGGCCCACAAAACTGCTGGTTATGGTGTCCCGAAAATTGCTGAACTTGTCCACCAAAACCTCATGGGCCAGTGCGGGATCCAAAATGAGAAGTTGCGGCTGTCGAGTGATGAAAGTTCCAACAGCCCTGTATTTACCTTTGTATTTACTGGTGAAAATAAAGACAATTGATAGTACAAACAATAATCTTTTTAGTTTAGAAACCTACTTATAGACATCCTGAACATCGAGTATAAGACTGCGGCTCTTGTTGACCAGAATGCCCGGATAGGTTCCCAAAATGGTCAGTGGTTCGGCAGTGACGACACCGCGCTTTTTCCAATACTTATGGTACCAAGTGAGGTAAAAGTATATCCCAGCGAAGGACACGTGTACGAAGGTCAAGAACAAACCCACTAGGGTCAACATGATCACCCCCAACAAACCGACCTGATTCCCACCAAGTTTACTTGAAAACTGCCTGCTAGTCTGGCACAGTAAAGCGTTTAATCAGAATGAAAACATACTATATACGTAGAGCACTTTACTGACAAGACCCTATCAAATTTTAATCAGTACCTAACAATCTGCTTCATAAGTCTATATACGCACACGATTTTGATACCATTATCATCAGCATTTTGTAGATATGATTTTGTTGAAAAGGTAAGTTAGGTTATTGGGATTGGGATGCCATTAATTAGATTATCAAAGTGAGCAAAATTCAGTGAAAACTAATAATTTTTACATGCATGTATTAAATAAACTAATTATAATACAAATCTATCTCAAAAACCGGCGGTACTCCAGATTCACATCTCCCTGCAAAACGACTCCAAATCCAGCATCTCCCTTGGGTGCCAGCCGTTCTTTTCCACGCACCACTTGAAAATCGCTGAGAATGTGAACAATAGCTGATTTCAGGGTCAGCAGAGCCAGAGGTATGCCTAAAAAAATGTATATTAATATAGATCATTGAATTACGTTTCTAAGGACATACCCATGCAAATACGCGGACCATCGCTAAATGGAATAAATATTCCCTTGCGCATTAATTCCTGATATGCACCATTATCAAAACGTTCTGGTTTGAATGCTTCGGGCTCGGAAAAATATTGCTTATCATGATGAAACTGATAATTCGGTATCATGATAGTCATGCCATCTTCAACATCCAGCCGTTTAAATTCATTGAGCTGAATAATTGTGGGAAATGTGCAGACTTTTGTGTACTGCGGTATCAAACTGCTAAGGCGAAGGGATTCTGTAGGGTTTTAAAAGGATGTGTAGGATATGTAGGATATTAGTTAAAAGATATAGAACTAACCATAGACAACTTGCTCCAAATAGGGCAGCGAACACAGCTTGTCAAAGTCAAGACTCTTTTCGGATTTCACGCTGTTGAGGATTTCCATTCGCAGCTTCTGCTGAACAGTCGGGCTCTCAGCCAACTTAAAAATAAAATAAAATATTAGATGGGTACTTTGGGTACTACATAGTAACACCCACATAGTAAAGGGCATGGAGAAGGGCCGTGCCCGTGGTGTCGTATCCGTCTAACATCACGGTGAGGGCATGACCCACTAGATCATCGTGGGTTGCCTGTTTTTGATCACGAAGCTGGAGCAAATGCGACAGATAATCCGTTCGAGAGGAATCGCCACCGCCTTTCAGTCTCAACTCAATTGATTCCTTGGTAAGATTGGAGAAAAACTCATCGGTTTCCTTGGGATAGAAACGGAATCGGAGCAGCAGACGACTGCAGGGTGCCACAATGGAGGCCATGAAGATGGATAGCATGTAGAAGCAGTAACTGGTCCACTTGCTGGCCATCTCCTGCACCTTATTGGGCTGCTCCAGGGGACGGGTTAAGGTCCCAGCATCAATGCCCCAGATGAAATCAGCCATCACATGGGCCGTATAACGGAAGCAGAGCTAAAGCAAGGATTTACTTATATAAAGATATTTGGTTTTTGGATTATAGTTATATCTCTTACATCCCTGGTCTCTAGGATATTGTTTTTCTCCGTGACCTGCTGGGTCATATAGTCAGTTAGCATCTTCCCACCCTGCTCCCAGATGTTATAGGCTTGCTTTAGGCGATTTCCCGTGAGACCTGCCTGTGCATCCGAGCGGAGGTGCCTCCAAGATCGCCCGGATGCCCAGAATGGATTCAGCTTGGCGTACTTGTCCCACTTGGCATGTCTGATATACGAACTGGTCAGCGAGTCCTTGTAGCAGCGGAAGTTCCCGACCAGCACTTCGTGGGCCAGTTCCGGATCGAGAACCAAGATCTGCGGTTGACGGGTTACAAAAACGCCCACAGCTCGATGTTTTCCCTTGTATTTGCTGTGGAAATGTAGGAAATATTAATTTTAAAGCTTATTATAAGCGATTTTTCCGTACTTACTCGTATATTTTCTGCACATCCTCTACCAGATTGCTCTTCCTGGTGAGCAAACCCGGATATGTGCCCAGCAGGGTCAAAGGTCGGGCTGTGATCAGACCACGCTTACGCCAGTACTTGTGGTGCCAGGTAAGGTACAAATAGATGGGCAGCACCAGGAGGTGCAGGAGGATCAGAGCCAACGATACCAGGATGTACATATTGCCGCGCTCCCTGTTTCTGCAGCTTCCACCGCCTCTCGACCAATACTGATCGAACGGTCGGAAGCCGAAGCTGCGATTCTCCGGCAGCATTACAATCTGCTTCGGATGGAACGTTTGTAGATAAGGGTGGCCCCCTTGTAACACTGATAATATAAACTTATTTACCTATGTATGTTTGAATTTAAACAATTATTTATAGCTCACTTATCTGCTAGACTACTGTATGACTGACTGAAATGGACATAAGACACCTGCTTAAAATTTGACTAATTGACGGGATGTATTTTGATAAAGCATAGCAAAATAGAGAAAAAAGAGTACTCAGCCAAAGCATTTTATTGCCATTACCTTTATAAAGTAGTAAAGAAAGTAGTGAAGTGCAAATTACAAGTGTCATATGAACATAATGATTACAAAGTATTAGAAACTTTCTAAAAAGTAAACACATGTGCTGATAATTGACTGACTAGGAATCGTCAAGGGTTCGATGACCTTTTGTTTTAATTTGTACTACATTTTTGTTTATTAATGAAGTATATAACCTCGATGAATAAGTATTTTATTGATATATTTCACCTTGTTTGGAATATTTGTTCCTGACTTTTTAGATTTAAAAAATGTACTAACTATAAAATTTTATGAGTGTTGACAGGCTGTATAACACCAAAGATTAAAATATACTTATTTCTAAATCTTTATTTTAATGAAGATAATATAAACTCATGATTTTGCAAATTCCAAACAGTTATATATATTTATTCATTTGAATATATTAGTGCTGATAACAATAATAACAAAGATAACTGCAATTTTATTTTCAAAAAATATATTTTACACTTGAAAAGAATTTCTGGTTATTTTTTATTTAACTAAACATTTTATTATATTAAGTAAAGTTGTCATTTTGTTAAATTTCGACATCTGCCTGGCAAATAAAGGTATGCTTGTTGGAGCAAGGGCCCACCATCAGGCCTTCGTCATTGTCATTGAAATTAAAAATTGAGACGCAGTTCTGGTCATGGAAGACGTAATCCGGTTCACCCTTACTCCACTTTAAAAAGGCTGGCTTGCCAGAAGCTAAGGACACAAAGCTTCTCTTTTCTTCGTGATCGTTGATGCCCACGTAGTAGAAAACAAATGGAGTGAGTCTCGCGATGATGGCCTGCGCCTCCTCTTCGTCTTTAATCGCGGCCAGATATCCACCCATTTCACGACAGGTACTGGCAGCAGTGGTCCAATTTTGTTCGATTTGTTGTTCGATGTAGAAATACCTAGAGCCGATCAGCCTAAACTTTGGCGGCGGCAATTCTATCTTTTTCGGTAAGTTTTCCAGATAGGTTGATAAGTTGTCCCAAGGCTTTTGGATCTCTAGGTTCTCGGATCCTGCCAGATATCCATAATGACTACCAGCCAATAAAACGAAGAACAGTACGGCTGTGTGATTAAACATTTTATGTTCAACAATTGGTACCGCGTATAATTTTGGCGAGGCAACTGCAATGCTAAAGCCCAATCGGCCTGTTTATAAACCTGCCTGTGGACTATGTTATTTTACTTTTCACCCTAGATAACCTTTATATTTGGAGCTCATGCTATCGATAAGCTTGCTGTTCAGAAAGTAATTTTGGATCACATTTTATACTCTTGCAAGAAGTATTATGTACAAATTCAGCCGTTCGCATTAACTATATAATATAGATTTTATATAGTTGCCGCAGAAATAAACAGTAATTGTAAAGGCATTTAGGAAACTCTTATAATCCGTAGCTTAAATACATTCCTTCGATTTAAGGGATTTAACAATATTTTAAAGCTATACTTTATTAACTACCTGACGAAAAAATCGGGCCTAATCCGTGTGGAGCAGGGGAATAATGAAGAACTGGACAAATATCTCCTCCTGGCCCTCGCCCTGCATCACCAGGTGCAGTTCCAGAAGGCCAATGGAGTTCGTTTTAATGGCCACCTTGGTGGCCGACTGCATCGCCTTGTTGGTCATTCGGATCTGCTGGCTCTTGTAGCGAGCGACCACCGTCTGCTTGCAGTTGAACATCATCATCATGGGACTGGTCTTGGCCACCTCGACGCTGAAAACCGCCTGCATTATTCCCACGGTGGTGATCTTGAAGTGCGGTCGATCGGGCGATGTTACAAACTCAAATTCCTCGGCCGATTTTTCCAGTTCATGGAAAACTTTCGATAGATTCGGTCCCTTAACAAAAATAACATTTACATCCGTATCCTTCAGGTTCTTGTCGTAGTCAATGGGTTCCTCGCAGTCCATTGTTTTGATGGCACACTCGGTGCTCACGTCCTCGTCCTCGTAGGGATATAAGGTGATCCTCAGTGGATCGCCCTGATCCCTGAACATCATCCTCATGCTGCAGTCGGCGGATCCGAAGAGATTTAGGCATTCGGATAACGCATTCATCTTCAGGCCAAAGCTGTGGAAGTCCTGCACAAAGAACTCCTTGAAGGCGCCCGGCGGCATGAAGAGTGTGGCCTGAATAGACTTGCCCTGCTCCACGGTGATGCGCAGTCCATCTTCGGACACCTGCAACATGCCGTACTGTGGAATGAATAAAGGACTATTACTTATTAAAAGGACACCTATGAAATATAGGGACGTACATCATTGAAGCAAATGGATTTTATGGCCTGGTTGAAGGTCTTAATGTGATCCAAGCGCGCGACGAACTTGTATTCGCCGTAGGGCGATTGCGTCTCTTCGGCCATCCTAGTCCCGGAAGATGTGCCTCTGCAGCTCCTTGAGCTCCTCCTTTTTGAGGACCTGCCTTGAAGTTTTTCTGCCCGTGGGCTTTAGCAATTGGTGGAGTCGCAGTGCCAGGACGTGCTGGCAGGTGAAGGACACCCGGCTTTCCTCGCTCCAATCCTCCAGAACTCCCACTTCACCAGGGGGAAGGTCGTGGTAGAGGAGTCCTTTGGGTAGCTGCAGCACGTGGCACTGGAAGAACTCGCACTTGCAGTAGTTTATCCTCGGAATTACGCGGAAATACTCCAATCCTTTGGAAAGCTCCACCACGGAAATATTTTGATTGTTTTTGGCGTAGAAGAAGGCGAAGCTATAGTCATCCAAGAGCTGAAGGGATCGTAAAACCAGTTCCTCGCCCAGTAAAGTGGATAAATCGTAGAAAAACTGCCCGCGTTGTTCTAGAATTTTATAAAGTAGTTATTTACTTTTGGAAGTTTAAACTTCGCTTAAACTCACCTTTTGTTAGACTGTTGGTCTCCGCTTGATTTCGATATACTTCAAAGACCTGATCGACCAATTGTGGTAAAAAGCAATTAGTGATGTTTTCCAATTCGAGCGCCATTCAGGACATGTTTATTTCAAGATTAATTAGCAAAACAAATTTTATTTGTAAACAAGGCCGCCAAAAAAGCCGGCTGGGCGTCATCAGCTGTTCAGATAAGAGTCTGGCAACTCTGTACAGCAGCGATATGCTTTTTTTTTATCGATTACTCTAAAGTAGTCGAGTTTTGGCGCCACACTCAATATTTAAATATTGTTACTTAAATACTTTACTGTAGAGCCAAACTAAGCAGTCTCAAAAATAATTTTATAAAAGTATTTACCAAAAACTACATAAATTTCATTAAACTCACATTGGACTTTAAGGTATGAAATTATTTTGGTTAACCAAATAATAAAATATGGTTTCATATTAAGGAATCCGAACTTTGCGACCATCTTCCCCAATAAGGCCCCCCAATATCATGAATAAAACAAAAACGTATCTTGGTCGGATTGGTAAAATCATCTTCGAGATCTTCAAAAATATTCTACACGTAAGTTCAATGTAGGTTCTATATCTATGGGCTGTATTCATAATCTGTGAGAGTTTAAGCGGTAATAGCCGCCTGATTTTTTGGTGCTAGTCTACAATATTTAGCTCTAATAATACTATTACTTGGACCTAGATAATGTTCTCCTTTTCGCGTTTGATGCCACTGCTGCGTCGCTTGACGTTCTGGATCTTCATCATCTTGTTCTCATCGGCGCACTTAGTGGTAATGGCATTGCGCACCTCCTTTTCGCTGGCATTGCACTTGTGCGTCACCGCAAAGATGATGTCCTGAATCTTCTGCGGGTCTAGCATGCGCTTGAGTGGCTTGTCCTGATCTTTAAAGGCGGGCGATGGCTTCCCCGTCATCGAGTGGGTGGCCAGGGTTTCCCTATCGAAGATGGAAACCAGTAGTTTCCTGGTGGCCAACGAGGAAACCGACCAGTTGATGTTTTCGAACACACTGGCGGGCACACAGGTGTTGTTGGGGCCAATGGACACCATCACGTTGTCCATGTTTTGTTGCTGATTCTTGCTGAGATCGGTGAGACTGCCATTGCGGATTTTGACTTGTGATTTGGCTGGTAATTTTATGTTCTGCCGAGGGACATCTTCGGGTAACTGAATCTCCTGCAACTTGCGTCGTTTGATGAAGTGCAAGGGAGTGCCGGAGGATTCCTCATCCTCTATTTTAATCCCACCGCTGATTCTGTACTGCTGATGATGATTCTGCTGCTGCTGCTGATTCTCATCGCCCAGGCAAATCTCCAGGCGATCAGAGTCCGCCGAGGTGCTCAGGCTGTTTAGACTCTCTGCAGCGAGGCGAATCTCAATGGCATCCGCATCATCGGGTGCCGAGATGATCTTGTAGTCCAGAATCTGGGTATTTTGAACAGGAGCACATATCACCGAACTAGGGGGAGTGAGGATCTGGTGGCTCTGGACGGTAGGCGGAGTGGGTGGTCCTCTGTCCGCCAGCAAGGAGGATGCCTGCTGCATCCTGGCGGAAGTGGCATGAATCTGGGATAGCAAGTCCGTGTGCTGCTGCAGCTTGGCCTCCAAATAGCGAACCTTGTCTCGGAGCGCCCTGTTTTCGGCCTCCACCTGGGGATCCGGAGTGGAGATGCTGCGGAGCAGCTCGAAATCCTCGCTAGATGTCTGCGACCAGGCATTTAGCACCAAAGGCCTGCTCCTCTGGAACTGGGAATCCCCGCGAGGATTGGCGTTGACTATGCGCTGGTATTGCTGGAATTTTAAGGGGGAACTCATAAGCAACATATTCGATGGTCGAATTATTGGCGCTACTCACATTATCCATGTTGAATCCTCAAAGGATCTGCGTCAACTGAAAATTGGCGGCACAATGCGAAAAGCGGTTGCATTCCAGGGGTGGTTTTTCGTTTTCCACCGATTCCTTTGCCTCCTTTCCTTTCCTTTCCAATTCCTCGGGAGCCAAAACAATGGTTTCCAATCACACGGACGCTACCTGCACGCACACATGGACACCAAAAGTGCATGCATATGCAGGGCAGGGTGCCTGTGTGAGTGTGCTGATCTGTCTCTCTCTCTCTCTGCTTCTCACTGCCTTTCCAGGTAGACGATATCCTGCTCGCTTCCCGGTTCCTTGCTCCAGGAGAGAGCACTCTCTATTTCCCAACTAGTCCAGCTGTCTTCTCTTCTTTCCCACTTTTCGCATTGGTTTTGCGCGGGAATCAGAGTTGTTGTTGTCGGCATGACGTGACAGGGTTGTCGAGTGGCACGCAAAATTGCAATACCTAAACTATCGATTGGGACTCACGAGGTTTTTTTGTTTTATCAACCTTTCTAACTTTTTTAACAAAAAACCGCTGCATTTAAATGAATCTGGCTTCTGAAAATGTGTTAAGCGTTGGAAGTGAATAGCCGAATAGCGTTCTCTTAAAAAATTGTCAAATTTATGCACATTTGTAAAATATGTTTGTTTTAAATTTACGATCAAAATATTAACCAAATATTTTATTTCCAAAATCTTTCCGAATATGACTTTGGTTATTTTTAAACTTTTAGGTCTGCGGTTAGAGGTTTACAGGGCTGTACTATGCCGAATTATTGGGCCGAATCGCCGCCGAATTGTGGAAAAAACGGCCCCATTTGGCGAAGAAAAAGTGCTCTTCCACCATGACAACGCACCGGCTCACACTTCCGCCCTCGCCGAGGTCAAATTGATCGAATTGGGGCTAAGAACTGCTACCCCATCCACTATATTCTCCAGATTTGGCCCCGGGTTAAAGAAGTTGGAGCATCGCTGGGTCAAGTGCATCGAGCTAAATGGAGATTATGTTGAGAAATTAATCGCGACTTTTCCAAAATTGTCGATTTTCTTTTGGAGGCTAAGTACTTTGCTAGATTTAAGGCTAAATTTAAAATTTTGTAATTTCAGTCAATTACTAAATAAATTAAAAAGGCATGCCTAGGCTAGATTCCATTGAAATATATAGTAGTACCCGTACATTCTGTATTTCAGTGAAGGTCAGGTAATAAGAGAAGATAACTATAAGTATTGGAACAATATAAGAATTCATCCTTCAATTTCCAGAACCCAAAATGACAATAGTTGAGTTTTGTAAGTAACCGGTTTTCAGGACTCAGACTGCATGTAATCCATTGGAATTTAAATGTATTGGGAACTGTTCGTACACATAAGATCCCTTTGGAATATTACCCCTCACTCGTATACTCTCTGATCGGAAAACACACCCTTAAATTCCGATTTGGTACGGATACCTATTCAAGGGTAGTCTACTGGAATTCCGTCAGGTACGTCGGTTATTGTGATGCATTTTGAATGCGCAGAAAATATGGTACGTGCCCTTCAATCATTTTTAAAAAAGGCTTTTTAAAATCAAATTCGGGTCGTTAGGAAGTACTATCACACCCGCCATATAGCTCAGATATTTCTCCTTCTGAATAATATCTTTTCCGATCGATGGCTCATGGCCTGGTAGACTAGCGCTTCTCCAATTATGTTGAAGTCAATGAATGGATCAATTCATGGATAGCAAAAGAAAGCCAAGAGTTTGACGCAGAATCCGGAATTTTTAAAAAAGTTGGCATGAAGTAGTGGCCAGCGATCAACAGTACTTTGAAGTCAAATATGTAACCAATTTTTCAAAATAAAGATAGCTTCAAAATACGGAAAAAATTTCATGAATTTATTTGTTCTTCCTAATTTAATAACATTAAACAACGCATCAACAAAAATTACAAACTTAATAAATATAATGTCGATATTATAAAATGGGTTTTTCTTAAAAAGTAGCTTAAAATGGAACAACCATGATTTTTCAATGTAAATCGATTATTTCTTGAATCTAATTCCAAAAATCGTATTTAAATTATCTCGATTTGGCGACCTTGACAGCCCTGTACGATCAATATCTTCAGGTAGGATTGCCATCTGGTGCAAGGAATAATAACCGTTAATCCGGGCCATAAAAACACGATTCCGAAACAGATTTACCCAAGGAAATATTCGCAAAATAAACGAAGGAAACCTGGCACAGCTGCACTTTTTGCAACAGAATTTAACCTTTTTTCGATACCTGTTGCTGAAATCCGCGTGAAACAATGGCCGCCGGATTTCGTCCATACGACCAGGACTACTCCTCTAACCTTACAAATAGCGAGGCTCTGGGAATTAGCATGTCAGTCGTTCGGAGAACGGAGCCGCTATTCTTTCATCCGCAGACTGCGATCCTGCCAACAGTCCAGTACTCGCATCCATATCACCAGTATCTGAGTCAATTTGCCCCGAATTTTGTGCCCTACTACTACGGCCTGCTCTCGCGTCCAATAATGAAGCAGGAGGAGATGGACATCGAGAACTACATCAACTACGAGGTGGCCTCGCAACAGACGATGATGCGCCAGAGGACCATGAAGCCCTTGGGTCAACTGCAGATTCAAATGCCGCCTCCTATAAA